GCCGCTGGTTCATACTGTAAATCTTGATCATGAAAAATCACTAGGTGACCGCCTTGACTGCTTGTCCGGCGGTTCTGAAGAAACTTCTCGGAAATCTCGGTGTGATTCAAACCCTTATTGCTCTTGATAAACACAGTTTGACCGGTCCAAGCTGGTCCAGCCACAAGGTTGACTTGGTTCCCATTCCATTGATCCTCTTGTCGAGTTTCCTGATTTTCTTGATTGAAGTACGTGACTCTTTTGGCTTCAATGGCGTGGAGGTCGGGTCCATTGTCAACCATGCCAGGATGAAACAAGGTATGTCTGGCTGCTGGCTTGAACATGTTTCCGAATCCAATGTTCCGGAGTTTCAACCCAGAAATCCATCCCTGAATCCTCTTTGGACCCAGTCCCTTCTGCGTTTCCCCATGAGGCATCAGTGACAGCACTAACGCGAAGTCTCTGGATCGCAATCGGAGAAATCCTAATCCCAACCTGAAACTTTTCGGCTTCAACCGCAAGCTGATTAGCACTGATCATATCTCGAACCCTGGGCTTCGGAAACTGTTGTTGCAACAATGACACACGGCCACACAAGTCCGGACGCGTCTCCGTGGCTAACCAAGCTAAAGCTCCTACAAGAGACCTCAAAAGGGCAATTTCGGCTTCGGTACAGTACGAGTACCTCTGGGTCTGTCGGGCCTTGGTAAGCGGGATCTTGTGAACCTTCTCAGCAACATAATGATGTTGATCCACCATGATGCTACCGTCCTGCTGAGGGGTGAACTGCTTTCCAGTGAACCGGCCGCTTCCATACTGGAATTTTCCAAGTTTGTAGCGTTCGTTCAGCATCTGCATCTTCGCTTGATGAACCTCGCCACCACCATGCAGCATATCATCAGTCGCCACCGAAATCATACCAATCAACTTATTCCACCCGGTCATGTTAGGATCATGAAGGAAGTAAATGCAAGGATCGGCAAGACTCTGAACATAACCCAGTTCCTCAATAAGAAGACGCTTCAGATGTCGAAACCACGCCATCGGCCCATCGAGCAGACCGTAACAGGTTTTCAGAAGCCTGAGCAAATCACCTTTCTTCATCCCTGGAACACCTTCGGGGGGTTGTTCAGCATACAGCTCTCTCCTAATGGGATCCCCGGAATGAAACGCCTGAGTGAAATCCAAGAACCCGAGTTGCCACTGCTTGCTAGCGATGACCTGGGCAGTAAACATCACGCCTTCACGAGTAACTTGAGGGGTCGCGGATTCTAAATCTTCGGCACCTTCTTCCGAAAACCCTTTCATGACATGTCGGACCTTCGCCTTGCAAGGTCCACCGTGCTCGCCCTTTAAAAGAGTGCCCTCACACTGGGCCTTGTCCAGGTCTCCATGCTCGAGCGGCTTCGCCGTTCGAACATAGCGGGATTCCATGATCCGGTCAGGTTTTTCCTGGCGGATCTTCGCGCTGGTCTCGGTGTCGAGCTTCTCGTAGGCCTTCGTCTCGAGGTTGTTCGCAATCTCCTTCTCAGTCGCGCGAAGGAAACATTCCAAGTCATGTTGATTCAGTTCTTTCAGCCGTATTTCTTTCCGCTGTCTCGTCTTGAACAAGGTCTCCAGCTTGGCGTAGTAGAGCTCGAGGAGGTGTGTCCGGGATCTCTTCGTTGGAGGTTCGGTGGCCTCGTCGTCCTCAAGAATGCCTTGGCCCGGCGCCGTCTCATCGTCATCCACAGGCAGCGATTGTCCTGGGATAGGTTCCCAGGTCCCGGTGGTCACACCGTCTTGTAGGTCTTCGTCAGTAGGTCGCTGCTCCGGAGGGGCGATCTCTGGTTCCACGTCCATTGGCATGCGAGCTCGTAGTTCTTCAAGGCTGGTCTTCTGCCTGATCCGTCTCCGGTCGCGATTGACCAGGTGCTCAGGCTCTGGTCGTAGGTCCTCCTCGTCGGGCTCGTACTCGATCGTCTTGCTGAGGTCGATGTAGCCGCGCTTGGGTTCCCTCTCAAACTCCTCCTTGGCCTTGGTGAGTCCGTCCAGCCGCCCTGTTACAGACAGTTTCTCCTCCGTGCTGCCCGGTCGTATTCTTTCGGGTGACGCCTTGACCAAGTTCCCTTGGTAACTCAGCCACACGGTCGACGGCATATCCGTCATGATCACTCTGGCCGGTCCGTGCCATCGTTGATGTGGTCGATCGCCTTTCTTGGAGTGGCCGAGGCGGTAGAAATAAACCATCTGACCCACCACATAGTCTTGTTGAGGCCGAGGTCCTCCCGCGATGACATTCCGCAGGGCCTGGTCACTATCAACCTCAAAGAAGGCTTTTGCCGCAGCCTTGCGCATATTCATCGCTCGAACTATGCCGCCATCTCCAAGTCGTAGTTCCTTGCCGGCCTCGGCATCATCGTGCCCTTCAGAAAGAAGTCCTCCTGGTAGTCGCGGTAGGTAACCCATGACCCGCTGGACAGGTGAATATCCGCCGCGCGACGCGAGGCGGTTCTTCATCATGACGGCAGTGTCCACTAACTCATGCCACTCGGCGAGGGTGGCGCAGTTATAGTCGGCCATCGTCTTCTCGAGAAGCACCTTGAAAGTTCGACCGTGCCGTTCTGCAAGTCCTCGTTGAAATGGGGACTCCAGACTGCTGGGGTCCATACGTGTGCCTTCCTGGGCCGTGCGATGGCGGAAGCTTCCTTTGAACTCTCCTCCCTGGTCCGCCCAGATTTGCTTAGGCGGCCCAAAGAACCGAACCCATTGTCGATATGCACTCCACACTGCTTCCGGGCTTCGACCTTTCAGAGGAATGATCATCTGGAAGTGGGACGAGTAGTCGATGATGTTCAGGGCGATCTTCTTGCGCTTCTGCCCCACCATTGGTAGCCATATAGTGTCCATCCCGATCACCTCATTAATGCCGAACTCTCGTGGCGGTGCCGCCCGCCGTGGAGGTCGCGTCTGTAGAAACTTCTCGCAAACACTGCACTTGAGCTCCTGGGCGATCTTGATCACGTCTTCAGAGGCCTTCGCGGCCTTGAGAATCCGCACAAAGCGTTCTCGATGAGGATGTCCGAGTCCTTCATGGGCTCGTCGGACCAGCTGCACCAAAGTTCTGTGTCGACTCCCTGGTAGTGCCTTCTCCTCGGCTCCTAGGTCATGTCCTTCGCCTTCCGGTGGATCGGGTACTGGATGAAGTCCGGAATCGCCTGGTTCTTGGTCTCCGTCTTCTGGTTGAGCATGTCTTCGATCTGGTCCTCGTGGTTCATCTTCGCCTTCCGGTGGATCGGGTACTGGATGAAGTTCGGAATCGCCGGCTTCTTGGTCTTCGTCTTCTGGTTGAGCAGGTAATCGAGCTCGGCCTTGTTCGTCCACTCGTGCTCGGACACGGCGTTGATAGTGAATCTCACTATCACTCAGAGGCCTGGTCATGTAAGTCTCGTACCGCTGCTGTCGTTGGTGCTGTTCCCGGCTCTCTTGTAGTAGGTCTCGTTCATAAACATCGTCCCGGGAAACATGGCATCGAGCAGCTAGCAGACTACGAAGGACAGACAAGACAATGCGCACACTGAGTTCGCAGGTCCCTTGAAGCACTCTATGGGCGGCCTCCCATGTCGTGGCCACCTTCATGCTCCCAGAGTGGCTGCGGTAAGGCAAATCAGAGCTGACATCCACATTGGAACTCGCCGCGTCTTCCTGAAGATACACCACATCACGAATTGCCTTGAAAGCCTTGCGACTAGCTTGGCACACCAACCTTTCGAGCTGGTCTCTTTCTAAAACATCTGAGGGCAGAACTGGCATGACAAGAACAAGACATGTCGGCTGCGACTGCAAGGCATGCTTCAAGGACCGTAGAAACTCCGTAGGATCAGCACTAACAGTCAAAATGGCCAAGTCAGCCCCTGCACTATCCGGCTCGCACAGACCTTTAGATCCCGCCTTGTCTAAGCCCAAACCACAGGCTATCACTTGCTCCCATGTCCTAGTATCGCCCTTGTCTCCTTTTGAAAAACCCTTGAGTCGATCTGCCCGTGATTCCGGGAGTTCGGTCTCTGCGACCTGCATCAGCTCAAATGCTGTGGACATCTGTCGGTGGGTCCTAGCCAAAGAGCTGCGCAGTTGTCGGTTCTTGTGCCGGCTCAGGGGCTCCCACGATGCTGCTTTCGCCATTCCAGGAACTCCTGGTAGTCCATGTTGTGGCTCGAGCTGTCGTCCTCCTCGGAAATCTTGTTGGTGCTGCTGCGAGGTCCTGCTCGACTGGGTGCCATTGTCGTCCTTGGTTCGACACTCAGAAGTTTGTGGCAGGTCCGGCATCTCGTCCGGGTCACAAAGGCATTGGATCCCGACTGGATTGTCGACGAGTGGCCGCAGAGGTCTTGAATCATCCGCACCAGAAACTCCCGGGGGGTGTGCTCGTCCTGGAGGCTGTTCTGGATCCGGTCCCGGGTCTCCCGGTACTCGTCGTCCAGCATCCGCTGGTGCTCGCACCATTTGAACATCCCTCACTGATCCTGCTACCGATTGTTCCGGCAATTGAAGAACACCCGCTTGTAGTTGACCGGGGTCAGGCTGAGCTCCATCCTGCAGACTCGTCCGCAGTGACAGGCTGGCAGGTCGTTCCCGAAGAGCTGAGCCCCGAGGGTGAAGATCTCCTGCTGCTTCATCTTGTCCGTCACCTTGCTGTCGTTCGAGGTGTTCTTGGAGGTTGCCGCAGAGGTTTCGGTCGACTGGGAGTGTTTCTTCGGCCAAACCGGTTTTTGGCGGCGGTGGTCCTCGTGGAGGCTCGTTCGATCTCGGTGAAGCCACCGACGAGAGTCGTCTCCCACGGCTTCCGGTCGCGCCGTTCCAGTGCGTGTACTGGGAGACGGAACCCATCAGACCCGGCGACGAGCTCGCCTGGTCCACCATCTCGAAATCGGACTCGGTGACCGCCTTCTTTGAGCGAGGGCCTTGCTCCTGACGCCAGGTTTGGAACTTTTTGAAGAGCTCCCGGTCCTCCTCGTTCTTGTCCTGGATGGCCTCGTCGATCGTTATGTTGAGTTCCTGCAGCCGTGCCAGGTGGAACTCCTTGACATTGTGCTTGACGTGCAGGACCGGTCGAGGGAGTTGCCCACCAAGTTGACCATCAGCTGGATCAGTGGACGGAAAATCACACAGATCCTCAGCAGAAGGTTGCACCAATGGTCGAGTGCCCTGGCTGTCCTGGCTGGGTCGTCCTGCTCCGGTCGGGCTCGCTTGTTGGTCGGCGAAGAGCAGTCCATGGCGAACCTGGGGTCCTAGCAGGGCAGTGCTACCGCTACAGGCTTTCACAGCTGTTCCCGCAGGAGGGCTTGGGAGTTCACCAAGCGACAGCACTTCGAATTCACCATGTTCACTCTGCTGCAAGCGATTCTCAGCTTCCTTAAGACACCTGTGCATCTTGGCAGTAAAGTTGTTCAGCGGAATTCGGAGGGCTCCAGTAGGGCCAATGCACAAGGGAAGCTTGGCACCATGTTTTCGTAGCACAAGCATCAATTTCCCCTGAACCAGACCAATCACCGCATCCCCCTGAATGAGAAACTTCAGCGAAATCAAGAACGGGGCCTTGGCACTGTGTCCTTGGTCGAACACCGCTGGCTTCAGATAACAACCCTTGGGTCCTAAGCTGCAGGGCACCACGGCATTGTATGAAGTCTGTGACACCCCATGGACCGAACGAAAGCGATTCACCTCAGACTGCCGAAACCACCGAAGGTCCTGAGGCCAGTGAGGTTTCATGGTTTCAAGAGTATCACGGCCTACTGCAGTCCGCTGGCATCCCGTATCTAGAGTGGCGCAGGCAGCATCTTCGAACATATGATTCTCACTGTACCACAACTCATGGAAACGACACATCATGTAATCGAGCTCGGAAATTGGGCTGTCACGCTGTGCCGGTCCTACGCCGCAGCCCTTTGGCTCTGCCTCCTGATTCAAAATCGATCCGCTGGCCGAGGTTGGCCCGGGATCGCTATCATCATCGGGGATGGTCTCGAGGAGATGGCAAAACATAGCGTCGTCATAGTCATCAACGTCCACCTCGAGGAGATGAGTCTCCTTCTGATTGGAAGCCTGGCCGTTGCCGGTGACGCCGGGGCATTCACGTTTCCAATGCCCGATGCGTCCACACTTCTGACAGCGTGTCCGCTGCTTCAATTCAGCAATCGAAAGTCGATAGGTCCCGGGCCTCAAAGGCCCCGTGGCTGCGCGAGGGTTCTGGCCTGCCGAACCTTGGCGGTATCCACGACCTAATTCTCGATCCTTCTTAAGCTGAGCCGACTGGGTGTATGTCTTCTTCTTCTCCCGGATCATCATCGCAAGAATCTCCGCCGCTTCTTGCTCCTCAAACACCTCTGACTCGGGGAGGGGGTTGTCCACCATGTCGGCCAACATGGTTTCCATGGCCTCCAAGTCATCGTCCTCCTTCTCGACGGTCGTCTCCTCCTCGTTCAAGTCTGTCTCGCCTTCCACCAGGTGAACCGTAGAGGTAGCCGCCTTGCTGCCTTTCGCGAGGTTCTCGTTGCCAAGCTGGTTGGCCTGGATCTTGGCCTCATGCTTTCTCAGCCAATGCTTGACATCCTTGGGCTCGATCGATCCTTGCGTAAAGTTCAAAAGAGCCTTGATGTCACTTTCAGCAAGGCCCAAAGCATTGATCAGCAAGAAGCCCTTGTAGATGGAAGGGAGGTTGACCCGGTGCTCTTGCACCTTCCTCTCTGCTGCTTCCCATTTAGCCAGAAACTGCCGGGCATTCTGGTTTCGTTGGCGCTTCAAGTGATATGTAATCCTTGACAGCGAAGCTAGCAGATGCTCGTCCTGGTCGTCGCCGTAGTACTCCGGAGCATCCATCTGAGTGAGCAGGGTCTCAGCATTGTTCGGATCTGACAACCACTTCGGATCCTTCGCCAAATGCTTGAAATCCTGGAAGGGCGTCCCGCTCAAGGCCTTCAGGAGGTTCTGGCCTGAGCCTTGGTGGTACTAACCCAGATCCTAGCCCTGATCAGGTAGTCCTCCAACGGATATTCTGCTCCGTCCCAGGGAGGCGGTGGACCTGCATTGGTCCGGAAGTCGCTGCCCTGGTCGTCGTCATCCTCATCCGCCCGTCGGCGGCTCTGTTCTCGCGACCGTCTCGACGGTCTTTCGCTGCGGCGCTCATGTGCCCGAAGCCGCATCCACTGGCGGAACTGGTTGTACTCCGCCTCCTCGTCTTCAACGGCCTCGTCTTGCCGTTGGTCCTCATCTTCCTCATCCTCCGGAACTGGAAGATCGGCGGCACTCCCCTGTGCCATGTCAACCGTGCTGCTCCCGAGCGCGCCAAAACTGAATCAACTCTCAAGAGAATTGCTCGCACTCAACAACCCCTAAGCACCTGGTCGTAGCCAGGCGCTCCGCTACCACTGTAATCGGCTAAGAAACCCCAAGATGCGAGCACAAGACAATTCTCCAGAGAGCAGATGCGGTTTTCAGCACGCATACCCCAGAGCACTGATTATCGGTAATCACACGGGCCCCTAGAGCCAAGAGAATATCGGGAGTGGTTTCAGCCAACTGATCTTGCCGGAATTACATAGGGGTTTAGGGGTTTAAGGGGTTGGGGTTTAAGGCCTAAGTTTAGGGTTTGTTAAAGGTTTATAGGGTTTAGGGTTTAAGGGCTTCGGGTTTAGGGTCTAGGGTGAGGTTTGCAAAGGTTCGGGTGTTTCCTTCTTCAGGCTTCCGGGTTAGAGCCGCTAGCGCCTTGAAGCCCCAAGTAGCCGCAAAACCAAGAAACCGCATGCCCTTACCACGTCCTTAGTACTTAGAAGAGGGTTCCTTTAAAAGGATCTATACGGCCCCAACTTTCAGGGTTCTATGATGTTTCGCGCCTTAGCTCCCTGGAGCTTCTGCCCCAAGGACAGACTGCCACATCTTGGGCCTGGTTTCTTAAATTGTTAAACGGATTTAATTTAAGTTACCATAATAATAAGGAAACCTTATTATTTACTATAGACCCCTTATTGTAGTAACTTAAATTAAAACTTGAATTAAAACACTCAGAAAGAACCCAGCTTGGGTCTGGTTTCCAGCGCCCCGCAGAGCCCAAACAAGAGGTGCTCTCAGCTCTAGCCTCTCTAGGGTTTCGGGGTTTAGGGGTTTAGGGGCTTAGGGGTTTAGGGTTTAGGGGTTTAGGGGCCCCAAACCTAAACCTATTAAGCCATACGGAAAGCCGAAGCTGAACCCCCAGAAGTAGCCAGACAAAGCCCTTAGACACAAAAGCTCTTGCATCCGAAACCTTGAAGCCATGTTATATGAACACAAACCCCTAAGCCCTAAACCCTAAGCCCCGATGTTCTGCATAGAACCCTGCAACTTCAGCAGCTGCAACTTCAGCAGCTCTCCAAACACCAAGAAGACATCATACAGTAAACAGGGACGACAGTAAAACTGATCAGGGAAATCCTGGACACCTACATCCGTAAACCCGTACATCCTAAAGCCTAACGTAGCCCGTTTTAGTTTTGGGTTATAACCAGGCTTTTTGGGTTCAAAAAGTCTACGACGGTGATGATCCCAAAGCCCCAACCCCAGCACTCCGAAACCCGCATGTCGGCGCCTCCTTGCGCGCTTCGGCGTCAACGCGCTCCTGCTCGGCCCATGTGCCGGGAAGACGAAAGGCTGAAAGGGTTCGAAGAGCGCGCGGGCTTCCCGGATCTAGCGGGTCTCAGTCTCTATGGGTTGGTCTCTATATACAAAACATATACCTATCTATATATTTTTTACCTTTACATATCTTCATATATCTCTCTACATCTTTAGATATCTTTATGTATCTTAAGATCTGCTATGGCTGGGAGGGTTTGGGGGCTTTCGGTCTGCGTGTTCCCACCTAAAAACCTAAATCGCAATAAACCCTAATCCGCTGAACCCTGAAGTCCTGAAGCCTACAACCCAATGTAAAGGCCTTCGTTTCTTGGAACAGGGTCTTGGGGCCTCATGTGCTTGAGGCACTACAAGGTTACGTAGAGAGGCGCTTGAAGACTTGGGGTATAGGGTTGCTTGAGGAAGCGCCACCTGCATTTGAACGGCAGGCTCGAGTTACCGTTCAGTTGGGAAGCCGAAGCCTCATGGCGCAATTTGTTGGCAACATCCGATGCTTCTGCCGAGTTAGCGTGGCACGCAGTCACCAGACAGCAACTCGAGTGTCCGGCAATGTTGGTATGCAAACCATCCCCACGTCATGGGATAGAAGCCGGCCCGAACCCAAAAGCGCGCCGCATTAGGGTGCGGTGGCTTCAAGACCAAGTATGCAGTGCCTTGTGCTGTGCTGACAAGTCAGGCATGGGTCAATCGCTCACCTCCTTGGCCACCAGAAAGCCGGTGGCCCCCTGTCACACCCCTGCCGCTCTTCGACCCTGCAGCGTGAAGTCTTAAGGCTTCAGGATTCATTCATGAACCCAATGCTTAGGATTTAGGGTCTAAGGTGTATAGGGTCTAGGGTACGTGCGGTACCGACCCAACTCTAACTGCAACTGTACCAGTCATAAACCAACCACAAATCACCAAGCATCAGGCTTTCGGTACCCTCAACCCTAAGCCCTAAACCCTAAACCCAAATCCCCTAAACCCTAAACCCTCAACCCTAAAACCCTAAACCCAAAACCGAAATCCCATAAACACTAGGCCCCAAACCGTCAACCCTTAAACCCTAAACCCAAAACCCCTAAACCCTCAACCCCAAGCCCTAAACCCAAATCTCCTAAACATCAGCTTCTTATAGTCAGCCCAAACTCGGATCCTGAAAGCCATGAGAGGAAACCACAGGCCCCCCAAACCCTAAACCGAAGCCCTGAACCACGGTTTCGGGTTTAGGGTTTGGGTCTAGGGTTTACTGAGAAATCCTGCGCCCTAGCCCATCAACATTCTCAACCCTACACCTTAAACCCATCAAAGCCCCTAAACTCTAAAGCCTCAAAAACCTAGAGCCTACAACCTGAACCTCCAAGCCTTAGCCCTCAAAACCCTAGACCTTATAATTCTTAAAACCTAAACCTCAACTGAAGATCTGATCCTAAACCCTAAACCCCTAAACCCTAAACCCCGTAAACCCTAAACCCTAAACCCGTAAACCCTAAACCTTAAACCCTAAACCTGATCTCCCACGCTCGAAGAAACACAGCTTCGGCAACAACAGGCACTGACGAACCCCACGACCAAAACGAGCCAGAAACCCCAAGCCCCAAAACGACCCCAGAAATTCCTGCAGAAACACAAAAGAGCAAGAACTCCATGATACAAACAAACCCTCAACCCTAAACCCTAAACCCCTAAACCCCTAAAACCCTAAATCCTCACTACGGCTGATGATATAAACCCTGCACGACCCATAATAGGGAAAATACCATAATTCCTATAGTTTAGGGACCTTAAGGTAATGCAGGAGTTATATCATCCTCAGTATGTGCCTGGAGTCGTAGCTTCTCCTCCTGCACTTTTTCAGAGTCTGCCTCGCGAAAGTCTGACTTTGTCTGTATCTCTGTCCGGCTTTTCGGGCAAAGGGCTTAGGGAGCTTTAGGCTTGGGGCGTTGGGGTTTGGGGTTTTGGGGTTTTGAGGCTTTGGGTTTAGGGAATTTGGAGTTTTAGGGTTTCGGATTTAAGGTTTTATTGTGGCGGCTTGTCGGGTTTTGGGCTTCAGAGTTCGGGGTTTAGGGCTCTGGGGCTTCGGCTTCAAGCATTCAGCACTCTCCTCGCCTTCAGCTGAAGTTGATAGGGTATGCTGGAGTTTGTTCCCCAGATGCTGCGCACATTGCACCTTACCCCTGAAACACTGCGACACTAAAGCCCACCTACACCTCTCAAACGACCCAAAATCCCACACAAACCTGAATTCTAACTAAGCCCCTATAAACCTTTTGATCTTGAACCACTGATACCCTCGTTTGAGGGAGCAGCCGATTAACACAAGGAACTTACTTAACGGTAAAGATGCCGTAAGAATCGAAGGCACAGTCGCGTGTCCCCAACGAAAGACCTCCACCCTCCCAATCCCAACCCAATCCCCCCTTCTCCCGGACAAAAGCGACAAAAGCCAAAATCAACACTAACCCTGAATCCTATACTCCTCAAGACATGCTATAAGGAACTCTTAGAAACAAAGGAAAAGAAGACCAACCCACCTGCAGCTTCGCTGTCTGCTGCTCGAAGGCAAGCCGCGCTTGGTTCAGCCGCGACTGGTGCGAGGCTACAATGTTCACGGTTGTGGGTTTTGGGGGTCTAGAGATTTGATGTTCTAAACACTAAACCCGAAACACCGGGATTGTGGGCTTAAGGTTTCAGAGGCGGGGGTTCTGAGTTTGGAGGCTTCCTTGGAGTCCCCTCGAGGGTTTCATGCAAAAGGGCTGCAACAGGGGGGTTCAGGGTTTCGTAGACCCTAAACCTAAACCCTAAACCCTCTAAACCCTCTAAACCCTCAAAACCCTAAGCCGTAGGAGTGTTTTTGGGGTTTGTTCTACCAGTTAAGGGAGCCCTTGAGGCTGCAAGAAAGGATCGCCATAGGTTCAGAGGCTTCGAAGACGCCTTTGGAAAGGGCCTCTATGGTCCTGTAATGTTTCTGTCCCTAAACCCTAAACCATAAAGTCGGTGATTCAGATTTTTCGGAGTTTTGGGGCTGAGATTTAAGGTTTTGTGTTTAGGGGTTTGCGGCTCTGGGGTTCAGGGTTTAGGGCTCAGGGTCTTAGGGTTTAGGGATTAGGGTTGAAGCGGTTAAGAGGTTTGGGGTTTAGGGTTTTAAGCTTCCATGTTTCGAAAATGTTCCGAGCTTCCGCAGGAGCCTTGTCGTTCTAGGGTCCGAGAATACTTAGGCTGCACTACAAGTCTAAGAAGAACCCTGTAGCCATTGTTCGGCTTCTATGTCAAGCTTTAAGACCCAAAACCACGCAAGTAACCCG